TGTGACCCATATTGCTATGATACTTGTGATGTGAAAGGTAGCGTCTACTAAAGCTCTCAAAGGTTTAGAGTTGAGAAGCTCTAAATGTAAGTGTCTTGTCACAAGGGCACTATTACGTATATGAGAACCTACCTATATATGTTTCGGGGTTTTTTGATGTCCTGCGGGAGAGTTACAAATCCAAGACTGACTTCTGGATTCCTGTACCTGCAAAATAACGGAGACTCCTGTTGATGGGAGCTCCGCCTCCGACGATCAAGTTAGAACGTGTTTAAGGAGTTTAAGTGCGGAAAGTAAAGTCTCTCTTAGGGTCCAAGAGAGAATCTGCAATGTGAATTGCTCAGTCTTGGGGTGTCAGGTGTCTGACCAGTTCTCTACTTTGAGAGTAAGTGTGGGGATGAGAGTCAATCAGAGTTGATGTGAAGCTCTCAGTATGTGTTCGAATATTTCTGAATAGGTGTTTCCTTGGGGGAAATACCTTATTTATAGTCTAGGAGACTGTGCCCAATACTAGGTTTCTGGGAAACCTAGGACTGATTGGGTTTGCCTGGGAGGTTGGGCCGTTGCAGGCTGCTTTTCCTGACAGGCCTTTCTGTCTTCCACGTGTCGTGGCCTGATAGGTCCACTTTGGACCTCTTACGAGGTGACACGTGGCGGACTCTAATTGGTCCACGTGGCGGGGAAAAAATCCCCTAATCAATATAAGTTCGAAGTTTAGCCGCTTCAAGAAGTCTAGGTGGACATATAGACTTTGATGAACTTATGAAAGATATGGACACATGGCTGTTTAAAAGTGTCAAGTGATAATTAATTCGATTTGTCTTGTGTGTACTTCACCTTCGAATGATTGGATATATCCGTGTGATTCAATCCGTATGGAAATCATGGGATATGATCATCGTTAAGTGTGTTGTACTAGGTGTTAATTCAATCCGTAGGGACATTGACATTGATGCATGAGATGTGGCTAAATAGATAGAAGTGGAGAATGTTTAAAGAAACACTCTAAATGGGGGAGGATTGTTGATGATTTAGAGTGTTGTATGGTACACGCCTGCGCCCATGTAAAGCGCGCCCGCGATGAGAGTGCGCATAAACCGCGTACCTCTGTGGAATTCCGCAGGATTAGATGAAAGTGAGAGGCGCGGCCGCGCAGTTTTGGCGCCCCCGCGCTGCCTTGAGGCGCGCCCGTGCCACAGGTCGCGCACAAACCGCGCCCCTCACTGTTTTTTATTTCATCTGACGTAGATTCTGGGAAACGCCCGCTCCTAATCTGGGAGCGCCCGCGCTTCGCTGTGGCGCGCCCGCGCCATTTGCCAGTTTTGCGGTTATTTGCTGACGGTTAACCCTCATATAAAGAGGGAATTTCGTGAAAACAAAAGAAAGGGACAGAAAATAGATTTAGAGCATTTTTGTTCATCCTCTCCAAAAAGAATTCTCCTATTCTCTTTCAATCTTCTTGCAAACTATTGAAAGATTAACCTCTTGAAATTTAGCCTTCCTTTGTGAATTAATCATCCTTATTCGTTTCTTTATGCTAAGAAGGGATTGAGTGTCTTTTGTATCTCAAAGAGAATTTCCGGTTTAACCCAAGCACCGTTGTGGGGGAAATTAATCTCTTTAGGAAAGTGTATACACGCCTAAGACATTATATCAAGGTTTGAGACTCAAGTGGTCACCGGTATTCTCATGTTCATGTTCGTTGGAAAAGGCTTGGAAGTGAGGCAAGTTTGTAATCTTTCACATTAGGATTTGTCATTTGAATTTCTGTAATTCATTGATTTAACATTGCTTTGCTTGTAATACTTTGATTAGTATTGGAATTGTGTATGATTTTATTATTGTACATGTTTAGGTTTGTTCCCACAATTGTTTAAGTATTTACTTGTTGTAATTACTGTTTAGAAAACCTAACATCCCTGTTGTATGGTGCCCAGATCAAGGCTCGTTCGTTTTCTTAGCGGGGATGTTCATTGAGAAGTTGGACGCAAATAGGTATGCAAGCGTCCTAAAATTATTGATGCATCCGGCTGGCAAGTTGCCGAAAATCTGCTGGGCAACGCCCTTCAATGTGGCCGGGAAGCATTTACACCAAGTGGCGTCGTCCAACCCTTGTAGATACATAAGGTTGGTATAAGCCATTAGGTGGTCCTCAGGATTGGTGGTACCGTCATAGGTGCCTACCAATACATTTTTTACCTTGGCCGACTGTGCGGCCTCAGTTATTTCTTTGGAGAAAGTCGTAGGCTGTTCCCAAGTCTCTGCAGCCGAAGCTGCCAGTCCAGAGGCTGGACTGTAGGTGCCGCCTGTCCCCTAAAAAGGGTAGGCTGCACGTAAAATTGTCCATACGGCCCGTATGGCTGTTGAGGCACATACGGGGCCGCCTGGTACATTTGAGGAGTAGACTGGGCGGACATGCCGCCTATCTGACCCCCCTGGGGTAGATTGGAATACCTCATTGAGGTATTCTGAAAACTATCATTAAAGTTTGTCGTGGAGGCCGACTCTGATAGTTGCATATTCTTCTTTTGCTGGATTATCATCCGAGCATCGGAATATGTTTTCTTGGAACCATCCGGCTGAATATGTCGGATGGCTTTTCTGTTTCCTGTCGCAGGAATTTTAAGTCCAGCCAAGATTGTCGAGGGCTTCGGCCCTACCCTTGGCTTAGGGTAAGGAGTGGGCTCTCGGTCCCTGACTGGCTTGCTTCTCCCGGAATGAGAGGTCTTTTTGGCCGACTGTTCCTTGGTAGAAACAGTCGTCCGTTCAGCAATGAGATCCTTGATCTCCCCTTTGAAACTTGTCATGAGATTCATGAGCTCGTTCCTGGTGATAGGGGTGGATCCCTCAGCCTCCTGGGGAACAGTCGGCGGACCGGCTGTTTCACTGGGCCCTGCCTGGATGACGGTCCGTTCCCTCCTTTCGGTGGGGCGGACGCGCCGAGTCCTTAGGGTCCCGTCAGGTGTCGTGTGAGTGACGACTTCATAATCGTCATCTGTAACCTGGTCTGAGGTGACCTAGACGTCGGCCATGGGCCGCTTCTCACTTAGACTCGGTACAGGTTCTTGTGAAGCCATCTCAGATGTACTCCCCCCACAGACGGCGCCAAATGTTTCGGGGTTTTTTGATGTCCTGGGGGGTAGTTACAAATCCAAGACTGACCTTTGGACGCCTGTACCTGCAAAACAACGGAGACTCCTGTTTGTGGGAGCTCCGCCTCCGACGATCAAGTTAGAACGTGTATGAGAAGTTTAAGTGTGGAAAGTAAAGTCTCACTTGGAGTCCAAGAGAGGATCTGCAATTGCTCAGTTTTGGGGTGTCAGGTGACTGACTAGTTCTCTGCTTTGAGAGTAAGAGTAGGTGTGAGAGTCAATCAGGGTTGATCTGAAGCTCTCTAAATGTGTTTGGATATTTCTGAATAGATGTTTTCTTGGTGGGAAACACCTTATTTATAGTCTAGAAGACTGTGCCCAATACTAGGTTCTGGGAAACCTAGGCCTGACTGGGCTTGCCTGGGAAACTGGGCCGCTGTAGACCGCTTTTCCTGACAGGCCTTTCTGCCTGCCACATGTCGTGACCTGATAGGTCCACTTTGGACCTCTCACGAGGTGACACGTGGCGGACTCAGATTGGTCCACGTGGAGGCCACATGACAACGCATGATTGGTCCACGTGGCGGGGAAAAATCCCCTAATCATCTTAAATATCGTGAAAAAAAACACAATAGAAATTATATAATGAGACGAAGGGAGTATAATTTAATAGATGAGAGAAGGAAGACCATGATAAGAGAAAAGAGGAGATTTTGGAATCCTACCGTTTGGGACCGATGACAAGACTTGCAATCAACAATCTAACACGTGAAATTAATCGAATCAAACCAAAAACATGAAATCATACTTATGAATGGACCGAAGTCCAAGTCGGAATTCACTAGACCAATTTAGATGCTATTTATAGTCTAAATCCATTTTTGCACGAACCTAAGAGGGATAGAGTGAAACCGAGGGAAAAAAGAAAATTGTTTAAAAAATGTATAGTAATATATAAATTGAAAGGGATTTTGGATGATAAATTTTACGTTTTCAAAATACCCTTTTATATTTTATTTTCTTTAAAATAAAACTACCATTTTTGTAAAATATAACTATCATCTTTAAAAATCACAAATCTCATATGTGGCTGGCCGCACCGTGTAGCCAGCCATCATAGGGGTTACTTTGTTAGTGTAATAGGGTTAATTAGTCAGTGTTAAAGGGGTTACTTCATTAGTTTTATTGTGTTACTCGGTTAGTGTTATAGGGGTTACTTAGTCAGTACTACAGGGTTACTTGGTCAGTGTTATAGGGCTACTTTGTTCTTTTATAAGTGGCCACACGATGTGACTAGCTACACACAAGGCGGGCACAAAAAAATTATTAGCCTCCATGACTTCGTCATTTTTTAAACCTACTAATATATATTTTTTTTTATTAGAATAAGGTAAATAATATTTCAGAAAAAAAAAAAAAAAAAAAAAAAAAAAAAAAAAAAAAAAAAAGAGAGAATCGAGCCATATAAATTTCTTATATTGCACATGCGTGTATCTCCTACCTTGTAAGGGTAATTTGACAAAAGTAAAGACACATTTGGTAAAATTTTGGGCTAGTTGTTGAATTAAAGCTGGATCAACAGCTGATATTGGGCCTTTTGGGCTCATGGTTGAGTGGAATTCTTTTGTGTGAAAAGAAAAACACATATATAGCTTTATTATAAAAAATAAAAAAAATAAAAAAAAAAAAAAAAAAAAACCCACCAAAAAGAAGGAATTTGGAGCAAAAAAAAGGCCCCAATATATAAAGTGGCCGCGGTTAAAGTTTCAGAGATCTCCCATTCTCCTCCCCGCCACCTTTTTGTGCTGCTGCTACTGCTTATCTTCCTTCTCTCTCTCTGTCCTCCACTCCCAGATTCTCTCTCCTACACTCCTCTGGCTCCCGCTCTACCCATTTTTGGAGGTAATCCTTGTTTTTTCTTTTTCATTTTTTTTTTAATTTATAGGTACCCTCTTTCTTGCTCTAATTTAATTTGATCTAGGGTTTTTTTTTTTTCTTTTGTGGTTTACCCCCAAATTGATCTGCTCTATGCTGCATGTCCCCTCCTCCTCCCCCTCTCATTCTCTTTATATCTCTATTTGAATGTATACATTATTGATTTTTTGTGTGGCAAATTTGTGTCTTTTTTCAAATTCAATATTTTAAAAAAAAGCCCTTTATGCACTCTAATCTAATTGGTGATATTGTCCTGCTTCTATGAGATTCAATCTTTCTGTGTTTTTATTTCTTATTTTTTGAGTAAATTGTGATTCTTTGTTGAGATTGGTGTCTGTTAACAATCCTCTTCCAATTAAATCCTTCTTGATTCTCCATTTCCAGGTCTAAGCTTGAAAAAATTAATTTATGAATTTTAATTATTAGGTCAAATGGCGCTTATTTGTATATACTTAAAAGCATTTAGTTTACAATTTGGTGTTATAAAAGTGCTAGTGACATTTTGCAGCTTAATGTCCGAATTCTTATGGTTTGATGGTTATTAAGGACTACAATTGTTTCTGCCAATTGGTAATACATTGTGGGTTTTATAATACTTCGTATGTTTTTTTTTTTTGGTTCCTGTCTAATCTTTAGGCTTGTGTGATCCCGTGCAATTAGTTGATTGGTTTCTTTTCTTCGGAAATAGTATGGTAGGTATGGATGCACAAGAGATTCGTGAGAAATCACCGGAAAGAGATAGTGTCTGCGAGTCTGTAGAGCCTTGTGCTAAGGCCAACGGAAGTGTATCATTTCACTTGAAAGATAGTGGTTCACCGACAACAAATGGTAGTGAAGGCAATGTCAAGGGAGTTGCTTTGTGCCCTATTACACCCATTTCTTGTAGAGAAAACGGGGATTCTGTTTTTGTGACCAGCTCCCCATTGTCGGTGGAATCTCCTCAATTGCCAATTGTGGATGGCATCAATTCCCCAAGAAATGAAGAAGTTGCGGCTTTAGGTCTTGATGGTAGCCCTCGCACACCAAATGAGAGAGTTTTTGATCCATTTGCCCCAGGTCCCGATGAGATGCTTCTCGCTCCTATTTATAAAAAGCTTGTGAAAGAGTCTCGGAGAATTGTTGCTCGAAGGCTAAATTTTGATGACCTTGACGATTTTCTAGTATCTAAGAGTGATAACGAAAATGCAGATATATTGACAGAGAAGTTGTTGCTGGAGTCTGTTTATGAAACTCTTCTGGAAGCCATTATCTTGAAGCAGTCAGAGGAGACTTTTGCTGAAAATCAGCATTTGGAATTGGAGAATCTTCATACACCAACCTCACCACCTCCCCTGATGGGAGTTGCTGAGACCTGCCCTGGAGCTCCTATGAAGGCTGCAGCCAATAAGTCAAGGATAATTGACGCGGCACTGTGCAGGAAGCTTGAATTTTAGTTACTTTCAGATGTTGGGCAGAGAAGCCTGGATTTTTATACTGACTTATTGTTTAATGCTCCACAGACGCAAGCATATCCGCACATACTGCTGACTCCAAGGGTTGCAAGTCGTTTACTGTTGTATGTGTATTCTAGATCCCTGTATGTTCACCTCTTAGTTTTAGTGATTCACCCTTTAGAGAGGTGTTAGATTATCATGCCCTTGTACAGCTGTTTCAGACAATCAATTTGAGCAAATATCTACAAGTGCTTCAGTTCGCTTGAAAGTTTTCTTCTTTATTGTTATGGCCCTTGTGGGCTTCACAGCTTTGAACGTTAGAGTCTTCTGTCTAAGTGTCTATTCAAGTTGCTGCATTTTTTTGGCATTATAATCTGAAACCATGGTATTTAAGTACACTAGAGTATAACTATGTAGGCGTTAGTGTTACTTATGAAACACCAGTGATAGCGGAGGCACAAGTTGAGATTGGTTGCCTTCCTCTCACATGGAATTTCTTATACAGAGTACCTCACTTGGCAGCATTGATGGTTGTCTTCTTCTCACATGTAGTTTTTTATACCACACTTGGCAGCACATTTTTTATGTTATAGATTCTTGCTCTTATCATTCAGAGCACATGCATGTGTTACATAAAAGTTGCTTTTAAAAAACCGCGAAAAGGCACCATTTGTACACTTAACATCTTCATAACATGGATCAAATTTCACAATAAGGCTAGTTGTTCATCCACTAAATATTTCTTTGCATACTGTAGTTGTTGGCCATACAGAAAAGACACACTGACTCCAAATGTAGTTGGTGCTTTTTACCTGAATTGTTACTGTTTACTGAGTAAAACTACCACAAGAAAGTGAGATAATAAAGTCTAAAAGAGCGAAAAGAATCATTAAAAACCAAAAAAGTTGTACTTATAATATAAAGTATCAAACAAGTACGAGGTGCCAAGAACTGTAATTATGTTTTTATGTACAAAAGGGAAGTGTGTCTCCATATTTTAACATCATAAAGATAGCAGCAAAAGCTGACAGGAAGTCAAAATTTGTTGTGGTTCTTGCAGTCTTGACTTTTTATTTTCAGATCTGGAAATCCGATTACAATCTGGCAATCAGAGGCGGAGACGATATGCTTATGGAAGATTCTCAGAATAGTCACCTTTCCTGGGATCCTGGTTTTGGTTTCCAAGCGTAGCTCTCCGTCAGCTATGTCGCTGAAGAGGGATGTCAGTCCTGAATTTGCAAACCTATCAACCTCCACAGTAAGAAGGCAAGTCAAAGTGGATGTACCCCTCGCTGGAATCAGCCCGGGATGAAGCTGAGTATCCCCAACCCGGTCTCCTTGATACAGCAATACACCCTCTCCTTGATCACTTTTGAAGCTGGCATGATTGCGGTTCTGAATCAGGAGAGTGAGGTTGAGAGTGATATTTAGCTCTACTTTTATGGCTGGGAAAGAAATCCTGGGAGCAACACCTTCCAAGGAAGCAGACGCCACCTGAGTCCTCGCAGGTTTAACCTTAAAAACCGTCACTCCTAAGATAATCCCTACAATTATTATTGCTAACAAGAGCAGAAGAGTGGCCAGGACAGCAAACTTACACCTCCTCCGTCTCTGTTTTGGATGAGATAGAGGCGGAGCTGTAGCGGTTTCCTGAGTGTTGAAAGTTTTCATTGAAGGAGCATAAACTCTATATGAAGAGGATGGTCGAAGTAAGAAAAGGGAGTAAAATAAAAAGTTCTTAGTACTAGATGTGAGAGTTGGGATTCTTCAGCAGACTTATGCAATGACATATACTCAATTGTGTTGTAGTTTAGAGTTTGTAATCTTGTTGTACAGGTAAAATACTGAAATTGTGATTAAATGCTGAGCCTCAACTGCCCAGCTAACCAACTACCACCATACAATCCCGTCTTCTTAAATGATGATACCCCACCTTGCTCTAGTCTGAATATATCTTGTGGGTGATAACAGAAAGCTGATGATTCGTGCAAACATAACTGCACTTTTTGGGTATCAGGTCATTTTCTTTACTAGGAAATTCATTACGGAGTATCTCTCAACAACCTAACTTGTATGTATGGGCTGTGTTGAGGTAAGAATTCGCACCCGGGATCACTTTCAGTTTCAACAAACACGGTTTTCTTGATTGCCAAATCCTCCGACTAATAACTACAGTACGAGTAGGCATCAAGCCATTTATTGCTCAAAATGTCAAGTCTTTTACCGTAGTCAAACTTTAAAACAGGTCTGATGGAGCACCAAACAAGTTCCAATTATCTTACAGTACTAATTAATATGTTCATACCAAATTCAAATTGTATACAGAGTAATTGCTATTTTTATTTTTATTTTTTGAGACTATATACGCATAACAAGTCCGAACCCCAATATAATTCGTAAGAGGTCGTTTGTTTGAAGGCATCAAGTGTAACATCTCACAAGAGTCATAACAATAACAATGTTAGAAAAGTAAAAAAGTAAAACTTCTTAGAAAGTAGCACCTCCTATATTTGGTCGATTGATTCCTCTTTCATTAAGATAGATAGTATCAAGGACGATTTATCAAAGTGAGCTTAATTCACAAACAATTTTGTAAAGTAAACGTGTGGCCAAACTATTTACCAAACTAAGCTTTTAGGGTAAAACGCTGTCTCGGATACATTTTATACCCTGGTTTTTTTTTTTTAAATTCAATTTGTAAAACGCTGTCCCCAGACAGCGTTTTACATGTTGACTTATTTTTTTAAAATTTCATACTGTCTGATATTTAAAATGTTAAATAAAAAAAACAATTCAAATACACACAAACGCTGACTGAAGCAGCGTTTAATTCAGAACATAAAACGCTGTCTGGGACAGCGTTTCATGTACAATTTTTTTTTTGTACATAAAACGCTGTCCCACACAGCGTTTTTCCTACTAGGCTGCAGCACCAACAGCTAGCAGCCTCCTCACTCCAAATTCAGCCCCCAACCCTCATTCAGCCACCACCCTCCACCACTCATTTAGCCACCACCCTCCAACACCACCCCCACCCCCACCACCAACCCCAACCTCAACCACCATCCCCACCGTCATTCACGATCCCCAACAACTTCCCCACCATCGACCACCACCAACCACCACTCCCGCCACTTTTGCCCACCCTTAGCCACTTCAAACCACTCAAACCACCCCCTAACCACCACATTAACCACGACCGGCCATCGCTTCTACCCCGTTTCTCATTATGGAGCCCAAATATTTTGTGTTAGCTATATATCGGCCTAGAATAATCTATTTTGACTAACATAAGTCCGATTTGGACAAATAAGGAAATTAAACTTCAAACAACACACAGATTCATTCAAAAAACATTTATTATATTAATAATGTAAGTGTTGTATACAACAGACTAGAAAATCCAATTACAGCAAATAAATCAGATAATACTATCCCCCATGACTCATTTATTCGGGGTAACGGTTCTCTATCCTGTCTGCCGTCCCTCTGTCTAACACGCCGCCGCCTATAATGGGTAATGGTGGTAAATGGGTCTGGGGGCGGTGGCGTAGTCTGATGGCTGAACGATGGGTCCTCCGGAGTAGGGGTGGGCGCAGAACTGTGGATGATGTAATCCTTTGCGACTCTGGGTGACGTAAGATCACCTCCACCGCTACACTAGCCGAACTCGAACTGTGAATGGACGGAGTGGCCTCCATGACCGTCCCGCGGGTGGACGACATAGCCGTGACAATATCTCTGCAAGGTAGCCACGCCCATATCTCGCACCCGCTCGACCTGGGCTCTGGTGGGTCCGTCTGCAAAGGCATCTGATAGTGCATCAACCATCGCCACCATATCCACCGCTTACAGTAATCATCGATCAGTCAGTTGTATGCACTAGTAGAAAAAAAGAAATAGGCAACCCCCCTATGGCAACGGTTCATGAAAACCGTTGCCAACTTAAGTGAGCGCAATTTATAATATCAGAGTTGGCAACGGTTAACCGTTGCCAACTGATTATTTTTTTAAAAAAAAATAAATAAATAAATAGGTTAGAGTTGGCAACGGTTAACCGTTGCCAAATATTAAATTTTAGCAACGGTTAACCGTTGCCAAATACTTATTTTTTTTTAAAAAAAAAAAAATTAAAAGGATTAGATTTGGCAACGGTTAACCGTTGCCAAATGTGAAATAAAAACCCCGGTTTTTCCTTTCTCAAGCTTCCAGTACATTCCCTCCTGTTCTTTGTTCTTCTTCAATGACGCGCGTTTTCCCTCCCCCCTTCTTCATTGAGCAACTCCCCTCTTTGTTCCTCCATTGAAGTGCTGCGAGCTTTCTCACCTCCGTTGAAGACAATACACGCGTCGTACTCCGGCAATAACTCCCTCCATTGAAACATCTTCAACCGAAGGTAAGTAGCAATTAGGTTTTACTTATATACTTCCATTGATGAATTCGTTCGACTTTTTGGTGGATTTGATTTACAATTTAGTAATTATAAGATCCTGTAATCTAGGGTTTGTCAATTGAAACAACTATAATGGACTTGAGCCCTATGTGACTATGTCGGAATTTGAAGAGGTTGGCGCTTTGTAGTAGTGAGTAATACTAAATTTGAGTCCTAAATCCCTAATTGTTCAATTATCAACTCAATTTCAGAGAATTTTGCATTATCTGAATTGTGAATTTGTGAAATGCTCGCCTAGTCGCCTGCTCCAGCCTCCAGTGCTCTGTGCAGCTGTGCTCTATCCTCTGTAATTGTGTGCTGTAAGTTAAGGTGGCAGTAACTGTTGGTTTGGTGTGGTGGAGGATAGGTGAGGGAGTGGTGTAGGTTAAGGTGGCAGTAACTGTGTGCTGCTGTTCTGCTGTTTTTTATTTCAATTTGCTCTGTTCTGTTTCAATTTATTCAATTTGCTGCTGATCCTGTTATGTTTCAATTTATTTAATTGGCTGCTCATCCTGTTCTGTTCCAATTTATTCAATTGCCTGCTGCTTCGAATGTGAAATTGAGTCCCTGGTTATATGTCAATGTTTTGGTTGCATTGAGAAGGAGGTTTGTATGTACTTGATTGGTTGCCAGTAAAATTAGTTGCTGGCCAGGGAGTGTGTGAATTTTGTTGTGGCTGCTGGTATTTTATTTGGTGGAATGAATTTTGGTTGCTGTTGGTATTTGATTTGGTGGACTGAATTTTGATTTGTTGTTGGTAATAACATGCTTTGTGACTCCCTGTTGGGGTTGTGGTGGTTGATTATTTTGCAATATAGTGAGTCCCTTTGTCGTGGTCTGATTTTGCAATATAGAGTCCCTAAGATCTCAATGATTTAATTTGAGAGATCATTCTTGTTACTAAATCTAAATGATGAAGGGACTCAGCTGATTTTGAAATGGCCTGTTTGATTTGCTCCAATTATAACATTGTTGAGGTAACAAACAAGATTTCATTTCTTGTGATCAAATTACAATCTCTCTGATGGATTTAAGATGTCACTCATGATTGGTTCAATGTGTACACAAACCTTTAATTTAAGATGTCACTCATGTAGGCCTAGGATATGGTTGTGTGCAATCTAACAAAGCAGTCCTGAGGCAACAGAGAAGTGCTAACTCATTCCTAGAGATATGCCAAAACTTTAGTTTCATGTACAATTAACTCCTAGCCGAAATAACTTCTAATTCTGTACAAAATTCACCATAAAGTTTTCAGAAGCAGCCCCATGACTGTGAGCTTCCAAGGGGAGCAGTAATGTAAGGAGAGCATTCGAAGCTAAAATCTTGGCTGAAAAACAGCTACTAATGCTCTCCTTACATTACTGCTCCCCTTGGAAGCTCACAGTCATGGGGCTGTTTCTGAAAACTTTATGGTGAATTTTGTACAGAATTAGAAGTTATTTCGGCTTGAGTTAATTGTACATGACTGTAAAGTTATGGCATCTAGGAATGAGTTTTCATTTTTCTGTTGCCTCCTTTCTTTCTGGAGATAGTTTTCTTCATGTATCAGCTGCCAGATTTTGTTGCCTTTCAGTTTGGTTGAAATGGAACACTCTCTGCTGATGCCATAATGCAACTACTACTGATTGATAGGTCAATAGCTAAGTTCATATTCTCGTGTTTGTCCACATGCAATCCTTGATGTGTATGCAAGCTATTGTGTCAGAACTGCTTTGTTAGGCTGCGACCTACATCACATTTAATTTGTAAATATCGTTTACTAGCTAGCTTAGCTTACTAATTTGTAAATTCATCAATCCTAACCTTGCCTTAGCTTACTAATTACGTACTTTACGTAATTTGTAAATTCATCAATCCTAACTTTAATTAGCTTACGTACTAATTTGTAAATATCGTTTGTTATAATTTGTAAACTTTAATTAGTTTACGTAATTTGTAATTTGCCTTAGCTTCGAATGCTCTATTGCGATTGTTATAATTATTTATGTTTTGTTATTAATAATACTAATTATTGTTACTATTATCATAATAATTATTATTATTATTATAATAATAATAATAAATATTATTATTAATTTTAATATTAATTATAAAACTGGACAATTTCTGGATTTGCAGCCAAAAAACAGGTTTATATTAAAATTATAAAACAAGTCAATTTGCCGCCAAAAAAAAAAAAAAAAAAAAGCTCAATGGCAACGTTGCAGGTCAATATTATTGCAGCTAAAATAAAAAAAAAAACAAAAAACAGGTTTTGGCAACGGTTAACCGTTGCCAATTACCTTAAAAAAAAAAAAAACCAAAAAACAGTCTATGGCAATTACTCTAAAAAAAAACAATACAAAGAACAGGAGAATATTAGTGCAGCCAAAAATAAAAAAAAAATTACAATTGAGGTCATTGGCAACGGTTAACCGTTGCCAATTACTTTAAAAAATAAAAAAAAAATGGCGCCATGAACAATGGCAACGGTTAACCG